CCCGCTCACTGCAACTAGAGAAAGCCCACGCCCAGCAACGAAGACCCAACATAGCCAAAAATAAATAAATAAATTTATTTAAAAAACCCCAAAAAACAAAAAACATGGTAGTTAAATACAAAAGAGAGCCTAACATATAATAAGGAAATGAAGTTACTTAAACGATCTCAGGTGCCTACAGATTGCAAGCATAGAATAAATATTTGTTGAATGTAGAAATATAATCTATTCATGAATATTTAAAGGATGAAGAACTAAAACGTAATACAACATATTCTTACTGTACAATTTCATCTTAAGTTATTCTACATGGTACCCTTCATAGTAAGTTTCCAGTTCCTGACTTATCTCAGATTTTTACTGTCCAGAAATAGATCTAACCGTTGTGGCCACCGATGGTAAATGCTCATCAATCGAAAAATCCAAGATACTAATCATTACACAAATATTTTTCTAGTAGTTGTTTTTGGAATTGTTACCAGCTTACTGGTTTTTGTTTCCTTTTCCTCCCTGGATCATTATTCCTGAATTAGACTATAACAGATGGTACAGATGACTTGTTTTTCCAGATGTTCTAGATTTTTTGATGTAAAGCCTCAATTTACAATTGAGGAAGTAATAAACATCCTTGACTAGCTTGAAAAGCATGTTCAATTTCTATATGTTTAAGTAGCAAGTCAAGTTTATTCACCAAGGCCCAGAACGAATTTACTGTTCTCCATCTTTTTTAATGCCTTATTTTCTCTAAATCCCAATGTAACAATAATACCTAGCACACCATAATCACCTAGTTGACATGTTGTATAAATGTACAGACCATTTACACTTGAAAAGTTAAATTTCTGCCTTCCTTAGCAATGAAATAAATCCTGTATAATAAAGAATAAACAGCACAAGGGAGAAATGAGAAAATCATGTATTTAGTTTGAAACCATACTTTCCAAAATGCTGTCCGGAACCATACACTTCAGTCACTGTGCTTCCTCAGCCACTTTCCTTGTGAACTATTCAAAAGAACCTATCCTGAACTCTGAGGAAGACTGACCTAGACTGTATTTATTAAGTTATCTGTGTAAATAAGAAACACCTTCCAATGAGGTTCCTCACTTTATGATAAAGAATAAAGGCCTAGTGTCAAGTTATTTTATTTTGTTAAATATTATAGAATTAATAAGAGAGGACCCTGGTACGTTTTACAAGATCTAAACATTGAACTAAGACACATGCAAGTTGTTTATTGGGTACAGTATTAGATATCTAGCACTAAAATATCTTATTTAATCTTCACAACTCGTGAGCCAGGCATTATAATTTTCTGCAATTTTTAGATGTCAACTGAAGCACAAGGAGTATATAATTGGTCCAAGATCACACGACCAATTAGTTGTGAGGCCAGGACTCAAAACCCAGCTAGTACAATTCGAAAGTCTATGCTCTTTATAATCTAGATGATAACAGCAGGCTGTAAAGGGTGACACACAATTGAGTCTGAGTAGACTTTGTAAACGCCACATGAAAGAGCATGGTGAGCTAAACTCTGGAAATGTGGAAGAGAAGAACCCGAAATCAAAGTCAAGCATGGAGGAAATTTTACAATCTGTCTAAGATATTAAGGGACCAATGGCTCTAAAGAAATCCAAAAATCCTTTAGTAACACAAATCCCTAAAAATACCAATAACACAAGCTCACATGCTGCTAGCTAAGCCACACATTTCTTTCTTATCTATTAAAATTGAGAGCAAAGTCTCGTGGATGATTTTCTAAATGAAAAGAGCTTCAACCTTAGGACCAAAATTAGTTCAAAAATAAGATTTCCTTTACAAAATTTCATTTACAAAAATTAATTTCCATCCAATATTTCATAGATTGCATCTATCCTGAATAGAAGGGTTGCCCTTAGTTACTTTAGACCCAAACTCACCATCAGGGTAGGCACTAGCCACACGCAGCTATTGAAGACTTGAACTGTGGCTAGTCCAAATTGAGAGATGCTATAAGTATAAAATACACATTGGATGTTGAAGAAAACAAAAGCATGCAAAGTATCTCATTAGTAATTTTTTCTATTAATTACATGTTGAAATTATAATATTTTGGATGCATTGGGTTAAATTAATATATTATTAATATTAATTTTACCCACTTTTTTTTATTCTTTTTAAAATGTGGCTACTGGGAAAATTTTTAAATTACATATGTGGCTTACATTATATTTCTAGTGGAACACTTTTGATCCCTTAAGTGCACTTAGTGAATGTACTAACATGTATTCACACTATATTACATGGTCTGAATCACATGTTAGTTTTAACACTTTTCTTCTGAATTCATATCTGATATAACTTTCAGTTTCTGGTTAAATGCACCATATTCATTCAAATGCATTTTCGTTTTCAGATTCTGCATTGAACACTTAAAAGAGAGCTAGCCTATTTTGGTGCTGCACTTAACAAGACAGTTGCAAAGCATTGGAGCCACCAACTGTTCAAAAGTGGCAATACCCAGCTAATTCAATCGTTCACAGAACAAGACATAAACATCTGTGAGAAACACAATTCTGTGAAGGAAAAAAATGCTGAAAATAATATATAGGCGGTATGTATGGTTTCTACTTTAAATTAATGTACTTTGTCTATCCAGGGAAAACATTTATATTGGCTCACATTTCAGTAAATTCTATTTGGGAAATAGAAGGGACTATTTCATGAAAAAAGAATACTGATAAGTATATAGAAAACTGTATATGGACTAAAAGATTCCAAGTAAATATTAACGAGTCTCTATAGTTACGCTGTTTGAAAATTTTAATTGGTAGAAATTAGAGAATAACAACAATAAATCCTTCATGTAACAGAAAACAAAGCAGATTATACACATTTTTAAAAAACAGATGCTTATAAATTTTTCGTGATTTTTAAAAATGTATCCATAACTATGGAATATGGCTCTGCAGGGCCTTTTCTTGTGCAGTGATGTTGCTAATGACAGTCATGGCTGTTATCGATTCCGCTAATGCTGGGGGTGCCTCACGCAGGACCAGATGGCCTCACTATATGGCAGCTGAGGCCTGATGGACTGTCTTGGCTCCCACCAGAGTCCCAGAGTCCCTGGCTGGTTTGGTGGAAAATTTTTCAGGCTTACTTGGCGTGACAAATAAGGAGGTCCATGTCTTCTGCCTGGGACTGGAAACAGAGGCAAAACCGCCAACTTAGCAAACTTAAACCTTCAAATGCCCCACCTCAGGTAATAGAGCCAATGATAGAATTCATTCCATCCAGTCTGTCTTTCTTGGGTGTTTGACAAGTCCAGCAGTGACATCCCCATAGGTCTAGGGAATCCTCTACAGAGAAAGGCAGGCAATGGGTCCTATCTATGGTTGAGGCCAAAGAGAGCCCTGAAACTCTCCACCATCATCTACATGTGAACTGCTGCCAAGCGCTAATCTTATTTCATGCTAACTTTAGAGATCTGGTGACATCTGAAAGAAATCTTGCAGTTGTTGTGGTCAGAGGACTTCAGAATGAACCATGCCATATTTGTGCTGGTGACAGCGTTAGAAGAGAATCACAAGAAGACGGAACCGGGCTTCACAGGGGAGAGAGACGGGAAAACTGTGTTTGGAGACATATACACTCTTTATTTCGAGGCATACACATCCTTAGGCAAACTGAATAATGTTAATGTTTAAAGAGATTTTCCTGCAACTTTAAGAATACTGTACAATCTGTTTTCCTTTGTGGGCTCAATCAACCTTCTTAGAAATTTAACATTTGAGGTTTTCTAGGTCTGACCTGAATTCTACGACAAATAAATCTTCTCTCAGAAAGTTTCCTAGAACTATCAGTTTGTTGATATAGTCTATATTCAAATGTATTTCGTATGTTTAAAACTTGACACCATCTCAAAATTTTATTCTGATTCATTATGTTTTAAATATATCTATTTGAAACCTCTCATTTTAAAATGTTTTGTTTATGGTGTAATTTTACATTAGAGTTATTCTTATAAAAATAACTCTAGATGTTTATGGGTAACGAATACATGTGAAAGTTTTGTAACATGTAACATGTTATCATCCATACAATTTCACACGGGAAAACAAAGTATGAAAGTATATGTTCCAGGTAGAATAAAGAACCGGGCTGTTTAGTGTTATGCAGAAGAGGTAGAGACATGATTTCTACCTTAATGGAAATTACAGACTAGTTGGGGAGGCAAGGCTGACGCAAAGACACAGAAATGAAAATTAAGAATAAACATGGGCGTTAGACTTTGCAGTGAGTGCCAAGGGGTTCAAGGAAGTCTTGATGCAACAGGGAAGTTTTCACTGAAGAGAAGCAACCACTGAGGGCTTTGAAGACTGAATATAACTTGGACAAATAGAAAAGAAAGAGAAAGATGTTCCAGGAAATGGGAACAAAATGAAAGAAGATGGAAAAATAGTAATTTGATTTGCCTGTGGGATACTGAGGACAGGAGTCTGGCTAGATTGGAACAGGATGTTGAGAAATAGCAAAAAAAAAAAAAAAGTAAATAATAATAATAGTGAGTAAACAGCCTCAAATGGGGTCAGGATCTGAACTCAAGCAATCTAGCCTCAGAGACTCTGCACTTTCCACCACATTAAATATAACAAGTAGGTCTAAATAGAAAATCAGCACCCCAAAGAGGAAGAGAAAGCAAAAGTGTTAACGTTTTCTGCCAGGATTAAAAAAAAAAGAGAGAGAGAAATATTGCTTGCTCATTCATTTATATACCGAATATTCTTGAATATCCATCACATACAAACTTCTGTGCTAGACCAGAAAAATACAAGTGGAGACGATAAACTTTCTGTCCTCAAGGAATTCACAGCCCAGTCGGGGAGAAAGGCAAGTAAATAGGCACCATTTCATTTTCTGAAAAGACTACCACATCCTTAAGAGGCCAAGCCTTTCTTTACTTGTCTTTCTTCCTTTCTTCTTCCCTCCCTCCCTCCCTCCCTCCCTTCCTTCCTTCCTTTCTTCCTTCTTGCTTTTCTTTCCTTCTCTTTTCTCAGTACTTGTTTCAACTGGTATATTAAGCTTCAGGAAAGACAATGTATTAACAAAATGTTTAATATAACAAATGCAAAAGCAAGTTTTCAGGCAGTTATTTTTTGTAATGATCTGGTGTAAATTTGAGAACATGACACTTAAGCCGAAATTAGAAAAGATTCTGAAGAGATATTATTATCATTATTATTATTATTAAAGGATAAATGTGATCAGAAGACATTATTTATGTATCACCCAAGTCCTTCATATATGCTGATGCTGTTAGACAACTAATTTTCTTAAATATTATGCTCTAGTATATAAGTAACATGAATAACACACTAATTTAATCATTAAGAAAAAATTAAAGATATTTACTCTACTAGAGTCAGTAGTAAAGATATGTACTATTGTAGATGTAACAGTTGATTGAACACTAATATTTATAAACTCAAAAGCATGGCCCATGTTCAAGAGTAATATTTGTTCTGAAAGTCTGACAATTTAATATTTAGCTAAGTACAATTAGCAACCATTCCAAAATGATGTTTACCATTTTAGTATCTTGGACGCATATTTGCCTTATATCTCAAACAAATTGGACATCCTCTTATATTTACATGAATATAAAAAAATTCCTGCTGATAGAAACTAAAAGAAAAAAATTATACTATCTTTCAAAGTATCTGGTTTAAAACAATTGTCATCTTATGACCAGTTATTAGATTAAATGTTATTTAAATGGTTTAGTCAAATTCAGTCAAGTACTTGTGTGCATGTATTTAAGCATCATCACAACAAATTCTAACATTTGCATCAGTTAAATTTAAATTCATGTAAGTTACTGTTATTTTTTCCCTTCAGCTTACCATCGGATGAAACAATTAAATGTCAGTGCAATCAGCTCCTGTTTTTTGTCCATGGTGTTTCCACTGATATCATCAAAAAAGAATTACCCATTTGGTGGTATCAGTATCTTCAAGACATGACTTTGCCAAAGAAAATTTCAGCTGGAAGAAATGTCCTGCTACTCCAAGCACAGATGAGCCCCCAGGGCGTTGGAACTCGTCTGGTTTTGTGGGTGAATGAAGAAGGAAGTACCACATGTCAGTGGAACACTAGATCACAAGTTGGCATGTCAACAGCTAAATGGGGCCTTGAATTACTACCTTTCAAGAGGTTTTGTCGTAACAAGAAATATAATATATGTGCCAATTTCCAAAAGACAAGTCTTCACATATTTAAATAAACCTTTTGCAGGAGTTCTACTGTTAGGTGGAGAAAAACAACCCAAATTCCAGGTCAGTTTGATGGGGAAGAGTTGATTCATGGATTTGGGGTCATTTGACAGATATTTTCAGTCACAGGAATAAGGTAAATCCTTGGATTGGAGGCCTTGAAGTGACATTGTAGATACTGATGAAAAGTCGCTTAGCTTATCTTTAGACACAAGTTGCCACTCTGGAAAAGGGATACTGAAAGCAGACACCTTCATGGATGGTCCAGCACTGGAGAAAATTCTTCAGACTATGAATGATAATAAGAGAGGTCAGGAAATTTCACTCCAAACGGGAATCTGCAAGCACCTATAAGCCCTGCAAACCACGTTTGAAGATGTCTTCTGCACAATCATAAGGATTCCTAACTTGCCAAAGAGGATCAGATCAAAAACCACTCCACTGTGCTGAGTTTGAATTCAAGCCAAGCACCAGCAGCCTTCTTCTTGAATTTACTTTATACCTTATTTATTTGATAATTTTTTAAATTCACTTTCAATTTGTGAAAAAGTGAGAGGAAGGTATAGTTCTTTGGTCAAAGAATAACATTACAACATTGGTCAAAACTCTTTTTGTGGCAAGTGACGACTCAAACTAGCTTAAGTAAAAACGTAAATTTAGTTGGCCTGTATAAGTAAGATTTTTTTCACGGTAAATCTTCATGGATCTGGGATTAAAATGATACAGGCTTGCACTACCTTTCTTTTTTTCCACATTGTGGGAAAAAAATGGCCACCCACAACTTAGTAACCCCAACTGAAAGATGAAGCTCTTCCCCTATAGCTATGAAAGTAGAGTCTCATGGACTTTGGGGTCAAATGCTACCTTTTACCCAACATTCTCACTGAGACTGACTCAGGTGTCCACTTTTATGTCTGAAGATAGGCGGAGTAACTCATTCCCCACAGGAAAATGGACTTCTCTCACCAGTAACAGAGTAGGATACATGGAGAACTATTCACGGTCCACCTAGGAAAGACACACTTATTACCCCACAGAGGCAAACTGGGTGTGTTGAACAAGCATGATGTAAGGATTGTGATCACAGTGACAATTAACTTATGTCTCTTACCTTGGTTTCAAAATTTATTCAGTTCAGGTAATCTTTCCTTATGGCGAAAGAATACTTGAGCAGATTCATGGTTTTTGTGGTCACTCACTCACAGAAAATAAAAGTTCTTCAGTTTCTGGTAGTGGTAAGCACAGTTTCAATTTAAAAAGTAGAATGCCCAGTACAAATTATGAAACAAAATTTTAAATTTTATTCAGTATCAAACATTCTTTTTATCCTAAACTGGGACCTGCTTTCTCTGGAGACATGTCATGGGAAGTGGCAGTGGAGGGTAGTGGGGGGACAGAGGAGAGTGTCCTTCTGCTCTTGGCCCCCACCCCTTCTCTGCAGGATCTCTCTCTCCCACAGCGACCTTGACCCAGGTGGTCAGATGAATTTCACCTCCAGATGGTCTTCTACCATTCTCTCCACACTCTTATTCCTGCATGTGTTCATCTTCCTCCTTTTCCTGCTGAGGTTTTCTGGCCCTTACACAACAGATCCATGATATCCTACACATGTCTGACATCTGGCTCATCTGTGCAAAACCACAACATAACTTGGTCTCTCCTGACCAGTACACATGCCAACAACTCTTCAGTAAAGTCTCTTACCCAAACTCCACTTTACCTTGACCCCTTTTGATACTCCTTAAGGAACAGGTCTTTAGAGGCATTTCCTTTCTAATTCTGCATACGTCTGCTTCTTGCGGGCAGACAATTTTAACTGCTTTGTTCACTGCTCTATCTCCAGCACTTAGAATAACAAGTGGTTCATTATAAGCACTCCACGTTGAATAAATCAATATGAAGTTGAGATCCGTCCTCCTCTCAGTTAACCTGACACTGATTACTGGTACCTTTGTCAAAACGGAGACAGGAAAGTCCCGCTTATAACATCATTTTAGACGTACACAAATAATTCCCACATTTCCTCTATGTAATAGAGTAAATACAATTATCCCATCTACAACTGAAAATGCACTTACACTTCCCCAGAGGCAGAGAACACAAAATCAAATCTAGCTACTAAGTAAAATGGTATGTCCAGGATCTCTTGAGAAGCACGTTTTTCCTGTCCATGTGATGTATCATATCTGGCAACATTTGACTAAATTGTAAGTTTAATCACCCTATGTTCTGTTTTATCTACTGTTGAGTCACAAACCACTCCAAAACGTAGCGGCTTAAAACAATAATGTTTATTTTGCTCTGCAGTTTAGCAAGGGCTTGGTGGGGAAATGCCATCTTTGCCCCTCTTGGAGTTAGCTGAAATGGCTTACAGGCTGATGGCTGGAATCATCTGAGGACTCAGGTACCCATATTTGGTTGACACTGACTTTCAGCTGAGATGGTGGCTGGGATACTGACACATGGATTCTTCCCATGGGTAATTACCTTCCTCAAAGTATACTGGTTTGGTTCCAAGGGCAAGTGTCTCAAGAAGACCAGGCAGAAGCTGTACCCCTACCAGGAGGCAGCCTCAGAACTCACAGTGTCAGTTTTCCCACGGTCACAGGCTCTCCCAGATTCAAAGCGAGAAAACACAGACCCTCTCCACATCTCAACAGACATGTCAAAATTGCACCGTACTAAGAGCATGGAGGCTGGGATACACATTATTGTGCTCACCTTTAAAAAACGTGCTCTTCTCCATCTCAAACTACCAAATATAATGATGAAGACAGGCAGCATCACCACCTTCGGAAAGAGAGCAAAAGTGAGACAGCAAATAGTGACACTTTATACCATCTCCCATGGCCAGGAAGGGCAAGGCCCACAGTCCTGATCATTGTTCCTCAGGCTGCCAATCTTATGCTCCTCTACAGCCGTGCCTGGAGGGGCTTAGGGAATGTCTCTATCTTTGACAGCTCTCTTTTTGTTAGTGATGGTTCTGAAGCTCTGGGAAAACACAATTAAGGGAATTAATCATAACAGTATTTTCAGGATCCAGGCTTGTCTTGAATTACCTAAAATCTGAGGTGCTGGTCAAGTATATTTCTCTTAGTCCCACCAGTTAGAATGCTGTTCTAGGGTCTGATCACCTCAGACACACTCACTACCTTTTTGCTCCTCTCAAACCCAATGGGCTACTGTGTGACCTGCCTTTTGTTAGAAGGAAGAAAGTAGGGTATTCCTCCCTCTGCCTTGGTTGGCATCTCTGGCGGATCTCCTTAATAGTCCCAACCCCTGAGTTTCAGGAACACTTCATCCTCCTTCTGTCCTGTAAGGAGATGGTACTCCCTGCTGTTGCTCACCCCTGGGTTGACACATCATCCACTTGACTTCTCTAAACCATTCTATCATCTAACCAATTCCACTATTACATGTTCTTTGTTTCAAATATTAAAAGTACTTCAGTATCATTTAAGCCACTGTTATTCTGACTCTCTGTTTCAGCAGCTGAATCTACAAATTTTTACAAGTCGAATTAAATCTATGGAGTGTTCTCTATCTAAATGGTGACCTCTCCCATTTTAAAGTTTATTATTCCTTTCAGAGAAGTATTTACTGAACATTTATTAAAGGCTATATATTTGATACATCATTCAATTCTCACAATTCAGTAAAGTTGGAGGATCACCCTGCTTTTATAGTGGAAAAACCTGAGACTCAAGATAAGCTAAGTAGCTTATCCCAGTGTCTGACTCTTTATTATTCTTTTTTTTTTTTTCTTTTGCGGTACGCGGGCCTCTCACTGCTGTGGCCTCTCCCGTTGCGGAGCACAGGCTCCGGACGCGCAGGCTCAGCGGCCATGGCTCACGGGCCCAGCCGCTCCGCGGCATGTGGGATCTTCCCAGACCAGGGCACGAACCCGTGTCCCCTGCAGCGGCAGGCGGACTCTCAACCACTGCGCCACCAGGGAAGCCCTGACTCTTTATTATTCTTAATGCTACACTACACCACTGCATATTTTATTTTCTATCATTGGTCTTTACCCTGATTTGAGATTAGCCATTTGATGCTTAGTAATACATTTTAGTGTTTTAGTGAGCACCTCCAAATCAGACATTTGTGTTCTTAATAAGTACCTTTTCATCTATACTTTGATAAATCAAAGTTTTGGCTGAGAATTAGCTACTATAAGAATCTAATAAATAATCAGATGTGGAGAGGAGGATAAGGCATTTCAGGATAGGTGGACGTGACAAAATCACCAATGATTACTTTCATTTTTTACTTCTTGCCTACTAATCTCCTAGATCCTAAAAAATACATTTTCTGTAGGAAAAAAAATCATAAATTAGTATTAAAATAATCCTGTTACTTCGCATACATAGTAGGCTTGACATGAGTTACAAAGAAATCATATTGAGTTAATACAATGTCATTATTATAACCTATTGTCAGCTACTATACTGTCACAAAAGTGCTTCACCATAAAGTGATGGTTTAGTTGAAGCTACATTTGCAATGAAAATGATGAATAGTATCTAAACTTATTTGGTGTCACCTTGAAACATGTTTGCAAGCCCAGGAATACACTTCTTTCATGTATATTTTATTACATGTAGACTAACTTAGTGACAATTTGAGTTTTTCTGAGTTTCTTTTGGAAAAAAATGTTTTAAAAACGACTCGGGTGTAGACAGAAGTCAAAGAAGTCTGTAAAGCTGAGCGTGAAAGTGACAAAAGCCTCAAAGGCGGGCAGTTTTCTATGATGTCCCCCTATATTCTGTCCTTGGTGTACACACCCTGCACAATCTCCAGGACTGTGAATTGAATGTGTTTTACTCCTGAGATTAGGTTATGTTATATGAGGTCATTAACCTTGAGATGGGGAGATCATCTTGGAGGGTCTGAGCTAATCATAGGAGCCCTTTAAAGCAGAGAAGTTTCTCTGGCTGCTCACAGAAGAGGAAGTTAGAGAGAGTCAACGGGTCATTCTCCATTGTTGAGATGGAGGGGAACTTGTGGTAAGGAACCGGGACCAGCCTCTAAAAGTTTAGAGCCACAGCCAGCAAGGAAACAGAAACTTCAGTTTTATGAGACCAAAGAGATGTATTCTGCCAATAACAAGAATGAGCTAGGAAAAGCCTAGCCACATGAGAACATGGCTGGCTGACACCCTGATTTTAGCCTGAGCAGAACCCAGCCGTGCTGTGCGAGGCTTCTGACCTATACAACTGGAAGCTAATAAATGGGTGTTGTTATAAACTGCTAAGTTTGTGGGAATCTGTTATACAGCAATAGAAAAGAAGGTGGCCTGAGAGCTAGCTTTCAGCACTCTCGGAAAACATGGGGTTGATGGAACGTGGAGGGACGAATTTGCACAGCCTTGCTCTACGTGGCCATGCTAGGGCTCCCCACTGTACTCAGAACAACTGGAGTGGGTTTATGGAGTACTGAAGTTTCATTACTCAGCTGTAGTCCATCAAAAGCATGTATGGTGTCCCAGCTTACCAAGCACATTTGATCTGGGCAAAACTCCAAGAATTAAACTGGGTTGAAGCTTGACTCCATCCAGCATTTTGGTCCATAACCACATTTGTAAGCTGATGGTAATCCAACACATTGGGTGATAGAAAACCCCTGTTATAAATACGCTGTCTCCAAATCCAAATGCACTGCCCTTTAGAAACATGCGTCATAGTCAATGAGAACGGTGTACTGAATTTGTAATCTTTCTTATTGCTTTATTATCCAATGAACATAATTTGGATTTTTGAGAGTTCTTGCCTGCAAACTGGCAATTTACAGATATGCACAAATACAATCACCAAAACCTAAACTATTGTTCAGGGTTGTGCTGACAATTATTTTCTTACCTCAAAGATAATTGTAAAGTATGTTATTCAATTGTTCTGGGCAAATGAAATATTCCTGAAAAGCTGGACATAAACAAGTTTCTTCTAGTAACATAACTGCTACTGAACATATTTAATTTTAGAGATACAATTCATTGGCAGCCCTTATCTCTTTAACTATGGCGAATGTGAAGCCAGAGCAGCTCAGTTAGGGAGTGAAGTTACCCTTATTAATAACACCAGCTGTTCTATGTCACACTTCTCTATAAAATGTGTTCTAAATTTTATTGGTTTGCTCAACAGTTTTAGTATCTTCAAGTGATGGAATTATTATTATTACCTATTATTATGCTGGCTGATTAGGGCATGGATACTTTTACCACAATGACATTTTAAGTCTAGCAGATTTTTGTATTTTACTTATGCCCTGAATACTAGAAGAATTTTATATACATTAACCAAAGTGTGATATGTGGGCCATGTGAGATGACTTTGGACAGCACACCTAAAAATAATTTTACTTAAGTAGTTAGAAAATAATATTATGTGCTGAGAATAATATTTATGGCAAGTAAAACCCTGATGCTGATTTTTTAAATTAAATATATTTAAGTAAAAATGACTGAATATGATAAAATAATAAGGTAAATATTATTTTTGTGTTATATGGCTATGGCAAAAATTTTGAAAGTGGCTCAAAATGATTAAAATTTGGGAAATACTACATCATTTCTAAACTTTTTACCTCTATTTGATTTTCAGTTTTGAAATTAGTTATACCCCTTTACTTTCTCACAATATATTTTCAAAAGCATCAAGATAGTGTTAGCAATTACGTTCATTTATTTTGGAAAATGAAGGCATTTATTTTTAATTATTTGAATATTTTTACTAAATGACTCACAAAATACTTTCTCTTAAAGTTTCTAGATTCAAACTTCTGTGAGTCTTGTGATGCATGTTTAAAATCCAATCAGAAAAACAGATTTATTTATTCATGAAGTAAATAATGAAAGTATTTACTTATTTATTTATTTATTTATTTATGAAGCTCTGCTTCATATAAGAGTTTGAGTTTTGAGATAAGTACATTTGAATTTAGTCAATGAAAGAACTGATCATCAATAGTAAATCACTTTTACAGTGACTGTTTCTGTGTGTATGTTTTAAAGTTTTCATATATATGTAAATATTTACATACTTTAAAAACATATTTTAGTGTATTATATTAAATGATCTTCATACATGTATATGTATACATATATATATATTTACTTGTTATAAATTACATAACTGAAACCTGATCAGTATTTGTGATTTGATAACAGAAATCACAGATAATGTTTTGTTAATCATCATCTTGTGTTCAGGATAAAACAGAACCAAGTCACTTAGTGCTTTTGAGAATGAACAAAAATACTACTTTGTTATGAAATATTCTGCGCACCTCCAAAATAAATTAGAATTCTCCCATCCCACCCCTAGGGCCTCTAAATTATCTGAATCCTCCCCAGATCATCAGCAATGAAAATGGATAATGTTTTATATTGTGGTCTGCCTCATTTAGTGTTAGTTACTACAGCTATTGCCTCTGTCTCTATCTTGCTGTGTGATTAACACTAAAAGCAATCTTAAGTTGGAGAAACAGATTCTTCTTATTTAGGTGCACCTTGGAATGCGTTATAATTACATACTACAGGGAACTTATGCTGAACACAATTTTACATTTACATCATGGGCTCTACCTGCAAGCAGTGACAGTAAGGAGTAATGAGATGAAACAAAGGTTGCTGCAAACTCTTCTTTGCAAAAATGGGAGGGGTAGACTCAAGGGAAAGAAATACTGCAAAATTTCCATGTCAGATGGAAGGAAAATAATACACTTAATTTGAAAGGAATATAAGAAAGATTGTGTTAGTTAGGGAGCAGTCTCAGCTGATACAACAAAGAGACCTACATCAGCTCACAAAAGCAACAAAATATTTTTAAATTTTTCTCTCACATATCAGTCCAGAAGTAAGCAGGAGATTCTGCTTCATAAGGACATTCAGGAACTCAGGTTTCCTATGTAGGGCTCTTTAAAACCCTTGAGTTTCCGCTTAACCACATCTTCAGAACTGGCTCACCAGCACTGTGTCTTTACTTAAGACCAAGGGAAAGAGAGAGGGGAGCAGACACTTACTTGTGTTAAGAGCAAGACTGTTACATGTATCACTTCTCTTCATACTTCATCGTCAAGAACCCAGTCTTACATACCTACAAAGGAGAATGCGAGTATAGAGTCTCTGGCTGGGGTACTCACCAAAAATTCAAGGAGTTATATTATTAAAAGGAAAATGGATAAAGAATCCTGGAAAACAGAAGTTTCTGTCCTCGGCCTCTAGCTCCCACATATTCACATGCACCAATCTTCCCACGCAGAAAACACAGAGCCTCCCCAAGGAATGCAACTTCAAGTGCATCTAGTTATTGTTCCCAGTTCAAAATCTAGGGTTGCCTAGTGATGTTTATTTCTCTCCAGCTGATCTAAAGGTGGATCTTCAAGGACCAGCAGTTCATTATCTAATACACGAGTTGCACTACCATACATCTTGATACAGGATAAAGAGCTGCAGTAAAAACTACCATTCTGAAAATGACAAGTGGGAAACATAGTAATCACTGTGATATTCCTGTTTGGCAGGAACTAAGAAGTCTTCCTTCCCAGACAAGAAAGTAAACTCTTTGGTTAGGCTCTGATTCTGATCTCTGGAATCTCTAGAAAGAACTTGTTTGTCTGCTGCTCTCATGGCCACTGGTCTTACCCTCTGGGAGAGTCATTCTTTTCCATTATCTGGAAAAGATATCAGTGGTATCATCCTGTATCAGTCTGGGTCCAATCAGGAGAGAGAAACCATGTGGTAATTTGAGCAAGGAAAGTTTAATATGAAGAATTACTAACTAAACAGGGGTTTGGAAGAACGAGGGATTGGCTAGTAAAAAGTAAAGAAACTCTAAAGAACATAGGAATAGCAAATGTAAGGAAAAACCACTACCCTGTGACTAAGATAGGGCCCCAAGGAAGAAACCCCCAAAGCACTGAGATCTCAAACTTGTTAAAGGGTCAGCGTGGCTCACTGAACGCCAGAGAAGTCACTGTAGGGTTACGTCAGGGGAATTTATCAGTAATCCACTCTCTGGAGAGCCAGGGATGGCTATTCAGGGGGTAGGGTCCGGCCATGGGTATTCCACTATGCCACTGCCTGAGGAGGCTGCTGCCTCAGTTGCTGCTGTTACACACTGAGGGAGGTGGGCAATGGAGAAGAGCCCACCGGGTGAGCGCACCAGAACCAGGAAAGAAAACCCCTTCCTCCTACAATCTGTCTCCAGACCCTTCTACTGACAAAGCTTAACATAGTGTCAGTTGGCAGGCTCCATCAGAGGGCAAGCTCTATTTTTGCAGAACAGGCAATGATGGGTGAATCTGGAGCTGAAAGGCATAAGTTGATAACTGGCACACATCTGAAGTGAGTTGTTGAGTGTATGCCCTTCTTGATGACTGCACAACTTCTGCAGTACAGGTTCCAGGTGGGGATTTCTGGAGACAGGTACCGAGTTTGTGATTTTTCTGGCAAACTGTTTCCCCCAAAACATAGTAGGCTCCTGGTCTACCTGGTTCCAGTTATGTCCATATAAATGCAGTCCCAGTCAAAGATCATATCTGGTTATAATTCTTAAGCTTTCATAGTCGTTTGTTTTCCAGTTGTTGTGTTCAGTCTATCCAACTTTCTCTTAATTTAGTAGTGATTACCTAGAGCCATCTAAAAAAATACTTAGGTGGGAATGGAATGCTCTTAATCCATTATTGTAGGGCTGGCTTCCACTTTCTGGCTAACATATATGGAGGCTCTTGAGAAATGATCTGAAGGATAATATTGTCTCCTGTGATCTGGAGTACTAAAGACATTAACTTTGCCAAACCTGGGAGTACCCAAATACTGTCAAGTTCGTCAACTAAGGTTTTATACTACAGAATGAGAACGACTCACTTGGAACTATATTCCCTTTCACTTCTGCTTACAAAGTGTCTAATTCTTACCTGACAATCATTTTCCAGCCTGCCCTATCTGCTTCTTTACTATCCACTTCCCAATCAATAAGCCATAAGCACATTTTAAAAGTATTTATTAAAGCAGCACCCTATTTCTAGGTAATAACGTCTGCATTAATTGGAGTACAGCTTAAACTATCATAACATCATGGCTCAAACAACAGATAAATCTGTATTTCTCTCTAGAAGTAGGCAGCTGTTTAGGATAGGTATACTGGTTATCTCTCATGTACAAAGAGACTAACCAACCACTTGGGAGACAAACTGATCACCTTGAGTCAACCTTAAATTCTGAAGGGAGCAACAATTTGTCCTTACTGGAACAGACACTTCTTCCAGATACCAGTTTGCTGTCTCTGCCCACAGTTCCACCATCACCTGAAGACTTACAGAATACCTGATTCAATATGATAGTATATCACTCAGACCAAGAAACCTGCTTTACAACAAAGAAATTGGGGCCACTGACACATTGTCTGCTGCTGGTCTTAAATATTTCTCCTCACCCAGAAACCTAATAATAATGATAATAATAGTAATAAAAGGAATAGATAAGCACCAGATCAGGGATGATCACTGCTAAGTTGGAGTGCTCCAAGCATGAAGTATGTGCACTAAATCAATGGCCAGTGTATTAGGTATTAGGGTTCTCCAGAGAAACATAACCAATCAGATATATATATATATATATACACACACACACACACATACACATATATACGTATATGTTATTTATTATTTTTATTTTTTTAGTATCAATGTAACATTTATTCCCTAAAATTCCTTTATTGTTTCTCTTTCTTTTGAGATATAATTGACTTTGTATAAGTTTAAGATGTACATTTGATTTGATATCCTTATGTATTGCTAAATGATTACCACCTTAGAATTAGCTAATGCTTTCATCACACCACATAATTACCATTTCATTTTTTGTGCTAAGAACATTTAAGATCTACTCTCTCAGCAACTTTCAAGTGTATAATATAGCATATTAACTATAATCATCATGCTGTATATTAGAGTCTCAGAAATCATTTATCTTATAACTAGAAGTTTTTACCCTTTGACCAATATCTCCCTGTTTCCCCCAACTCCCAGTCCCTGGTAACCACCATGCTACTCTCTCTTTCTGTAAGTTTGCCTTTTTTAAAATCTACATAAAAGTGATATCACACAGTATTTGTCTTTCTCTGATTTATTTCACATAATGCCCTTAAGGTCCATACATGTTGTAGAAAATGTGAGGATTTCCTTTTTCTCTCATGGCTGAATAATATTCCATTTCGTAAATGTACGACATCTTCTATATCCATTCATCTATTGATGGACACTTAGATTTTTTTCACATCTTTGCTATTGTGAATAATGCTGCAATGAGCATAGAAAAAGGAGATTTATGATAGGAATTTGCTTGTATGGTTATGGAGACAAACAAGTCCCACAGTCTGCCATCTGTAAGCTGGAGAACAAGGTAACCTGTTAAGAGTAATTCAGTCCTAAGTCCTGAGAACCAGGAGCTCCGATGTCCGAAGGTGGAAAAAAGATGGACATCCCACCTCAAGAAGTGAGAGAGAGAGCGCTCACTCTTTCTTTGCCTTTTTGTTTCATTTGGACTTACAATAGATTGGATGATGCCTGCTCACATTGGTGAGGGAGGATCTTCTTTACTCAGTCTACTGAATCAAATGTTAATCTCTTCCAAAAACACCCTCAGAGACAAACCCAGAAATAATGTATTACCAGATGTCTGGCCATCCCTTATCCACGCCTAGCTGACACATAATATTAACCATCATAGCCAATACACAGTTATGTGCCCACAGAGCTAGAAAACATAATGCTCAGAACCAAGGGGCGAAATGAGAATTGGCTTCAAGCCATTACTCCCTGTGACTTATTTGCAGAATTTGTGCTTCTTGACTTTGAGACTTTGAGTGTGCCGTATTTGAAGTCCATGTTTGGAAGGAGAGTGGGTGGGAAGTGTTTCTACTTGGAGGACCTAAAAAATACACTGAACTTGATGCTACAAAAACTATCTGGTAACTTTGGGCTCCTTAGTGCAGGGAACAAGTTGGGGGGGGAATTATTTATTTATTTACTTACTTATAAACCTCATGGTAATCACAAATCAAAAGTCTAAAATAGATCTACACACAAAAAAGAGAAAGGAATCCAAACCTAACACTAATATACTCATCAAATCACAAGGGAAGAAATCAAAAGAAGAACAGGTAAGAACTACAAAAACAACCCCAAAACAATGAACAAAATGGCAATAAGTACATACCTATCCATAATTACCTTCAATGTAAATGGACTAAATGCTCCAAACAAAAGACATAGAGTGGCTGAATGGATATAAAAACAAGGCCCAAAGGAAATTAGAACACTCCCTAACACCATACACAAAAATAAACTCAAAATGGATTAGAGACCTAAATGTAAGACCAGACACTATAAAACTCTGTGAGGAAAACATAGGAAGAACACTCTTGGACATAAATCACAGCAAGATCTTTTTTGATCCACCTCCTAGAGTAATGGAAATAAAAACAAAAATAAACAAATGGGACCTAATAAAACTTAAAAGCTTTTGCACTGCAAAGGAAACTACAACAAGACAAAAACACAACCCTCAGAATGGGAGAAAATATTTGCAAACAAATCAACGGACAAAGGATTAATCTCCAAAATATGTAACACAGCTCAAGCAGCTCAATATTAAAACAATCAATCCAATTAAAAAATGGGCAGAAGACCTAAATAGACATTTCTCCAAAGAAGACATACAAATGGCCAAGAAGCACATGAAAAGCTTCTCAACATCACTAATTATTAGAGCAACGCAAATCAAAACTACAATGAAGTATCACCTCACACCAGTCAGAATGGGCATCATCAGAAAATCTACAAACAACAAATGCTGGAGAGGGCGTGGAAGAAAGGGAATCCTCTTGTACTGTTGGTGGGAATGTAAACTGATACAGCCACTATGGAGAACAGTATGGAGGTTCCTTAAAAAACTAAAAATAGAATTACCATATGATCCAGCAATCCCACTACTGGGCATATACCCAGAGAAACCATAATTCAAAAAGACACGTACACCCCAATGTTCACTGCAGCACTATTTACAATAGCCAGGTCATGAAAGCAACCTAAATGCCCATCGACAGATGAATGGATAAAGAAGATGTGGTGTATACACACACACACACACACACACACACACACACACACACACACACACAATGGAATATTACTCAGCGATCAAAAAGAATGAAATCTTGCCATTTGTGACAACATGGATGGACCTAGAGGGTATTACTAGAACTGAAATAAGTCAGACAGAGAAAGACAAATACTGTATAACTTCACTTATATGTGGAATCTAAAAAACAAAACAAATGAACAAGCATAACAAAACAGAAACAGAGTCACAGATTCAGAGAACAAACAGGTGGTTGCCAGAGGTGAGGGGATGGAGAGATAAATGAAATAGGTGAGGGAGATTCAGAGGCATAAACTTCCCATTATAAAGTAAACGAGTCACAGGGATGAAAGGTACAGCACACAGAATACAGTCAATAGTACATTTGACCTTTGAACAACACGAGTTTGACCTGCCCAGGTCTACTCATACATAGATTTGTTTCAATGGTAAATACTATACAGTATTATATGATCTGCAGTTGCTTCAGTATGCAGATGTGGAATCGAGAATACGGATGAACTGGAAAATGGAGGAACCACATATATGGAAGGCTGACTTTAAGTTATACATGGATTTTCGACCGCAGGAGGGTCAATGTCCCTAACTCCCAATTGTTCAAGGGTCAACTGTGAAAACTCTGTATAAGTGACACATCGTAAGTAGACTTATCATGGTGATCATTTTGTAATGCTGAGAAGTATCAAATCAGTATGTGTGCACCTGGAACTGACATAGTGCTGTAGGTCAATTATACCTCAAAAAAACATTTAGAAAATGTGGTGGAGAAAGGAAATGA